ATTATTTGATGATGCTTTTAAAGCTTAAAGCTTCTGAAACTTATTGACTGATGTTGTATGAACAAGCCAGCAGGACAAACATGACCAAACTCACATCCTCAGTGTCTTTTCGTGTTTCTCTAGATGCTCTCGCTGGCTCTGGGGTCACTGAGGATGAAGAGACCACAGCAACATCTGGTCCTGATGAGACAGTAAGAGGTGGAGTGATGGAGCGTCTCATCTGTGGCACTGGACCATTTCCAGAATGCTTCTGTGGACTTCTCCATCCTCACTGCTCACACCAGTCTGCTGTGGACTCCTCCATCCTCACTGCTCACACCAGTCTGCAGACATTTTCTGATCCTGCAAAGAAGCACAAATATAATACAAAAGCAGTCATTTTAACAGCACAATGTCATTTGATTTCTGTATTAGAAGTAACAGAATAATCTTATTCATATTTTTGTTTCAGGTTTTCCCTTTTTTTTCACAAATGCCGCCGTCACCTTTCCTTGCAGGTCCTGCTCCACCACAAAAGCTCTGCAGCAAAGGCACAGGAATCAAGAATCAGTAAAGTGCTGTGATAACTCTGTTTGAAATTACACAATAATTAAAATAAACTACAACTTAAGATTTAAAATATGTTTTATTCATTTCTGTAGTATACTCACTCAAAGCCTTTGATGGCAGCATTCCTTCATTAGCCGCTCTCCACCAGATAAGCAGACACGTGTGCTCATCTGTCCCTGTAACATCCAGACAAGAGTCAGTCACCTCTGAGATTTGGTGTGCTCAAAACTACATTTACATTTTGAGGTAGTCCACTCACTTTTTATCCAACACAAATGTTCCTCAATTTTTCAACAGTACTAATGGACAAATAAAATAGATTACTTGTATTTAGTTACTTTATGGAAATTTATTTACATTACTTACACTCATCTATTGCAAACAGTGCTGACTGTACTACACAATAATACAAAATAACACATATATACATCACTCAGATGTCTAGGACCTATTAGACATACTTCTATGAAATTCATATCGAAGATTTTCCTACCAGATATTAAATAGACATTTAGTAATCGTATTTAAGATGTATATGGTTTAAAATGTATGTAAATCTACTTTGGAGATGTACGTGTGCTTCCTGGAGCCCCCGTTAGCTATACATAATAAAACGTGTTTTTACAGCAACATCACAACTATACTATACCATTTAGCATCTTTACACTTTCAACAATTTGCTCTAAAGTAGTTCAACAAATGTGAATTTAAAATAAGGAACCGTGTTTTTGGTTTGTAATACGTACATTTGTAAACACTCTCATCCAAATTTTCCGCAATGTTCGATTATGACGCATTCTCTTCTTCTTCTTTATGATGTATCCTCTCGCGTGGCCTCCTGCGATAGAAGAGTATCCATCGACGAGCACTCAAGAAGCTGGGCAGAAGCAGTAGGACATCCGGGAACTTTTCGACTACTCTTTAATGAATACTGAGGTTTCGGACATACTTAGTCGCTCGCCTACTGCTTTTTCCCTACTATATAGTAGAGAAGTAGGTGGTTTCGGACGCACTTTAAGTAGACGCGTGTCCGAATCTCGCGAGAATTAGTACGTCACCCAGGTAATTCTCGCCTACTCTTTTATGAATACTAAGGATTAGGACATACTAATTCTCGCCTATTCTTTTATGAATACTAAGGATTCGGACATACTTATTCGCTCGCCTACTGCTTTTCGCCTACTATATAGTAGAGAAGTAGGCGGTTTCGGACGCAGCCATTCTCTTCTTAAACAACAAATATTACAGAGGCCAGCTGCAGTTCACCCTCAGTGACAAGAGATTCCACTAGGACTCCCTTGGGGATGGGCGATGTTATCAGCTCACGAACCTGGTCAGACTCTCCACTAAGCTCGGGCTCCGGGCCGATGATGGACTAAGGGCTCTGGGTCTGGCGCTGACATCGCAGCAGGCTCAGTGGGCTCAGATACACAGATAACAGCTCTGTGCAGGGTGTGGGAGGCGGCTGGCTGGGCTCTGGGTCTGGCTAGTGTCGTCCTCCTCCGGGCAGATGGTGAACACCGATCCATTGTTCTCCAGCACCCACTCCATGAATGTGGTGAAGTTTCCCGAGGACCGTTCCCTGGGAGGTGTGCCTTGGACCATTGGCGATCGGTCCAGAAAGTCTATAGTGTGATCCTCCAGGGAATGGTCTTCCTGCTCTAGGCAGAGAAGCTGGACAGCTGGCAGGTCCATGGCAGGGAAAAAACTGAACAGCAACAACAACAAAAAAAGAAACAGTTTGGTTCGGTATTCTGTTAAGTGCTGCTGTAATATAAAGTGCATTTTGAAGGAGTAAAGTGCTGATTTTTCTCTATTTGCTTGTCTGTTTCTACCTTGGGATGCCCTAGAGATTTTGGAAGCTCTAGTTTGGATCAAGCCCCTTATGAAGATTTGAGATTATTCCAACCCCTCCAAGGACCTCATATGATGCCAGCTCTGAATAAATATACAAAACTGCCCAGTTCTCCTCATATTGACAATATATAGTGGCCAAGAGGAACTACACTAAAAAACTAGAACACCAGTTTTCTGCGAATGAGCCTGCATCAGTGTGGAAAGGCCTGAAGGACATCACCAACTACAAGACACCATCCCCCAGCACTGAGGCCAATCAACAACTTGCTGAAGACCTGAATGAGTTTTACTGTAGATTTGAAACTCCCAGTCTAACACCCCACACCCGCTCTGAACATCTCTCCACACAACCATCAATACCTCCTGCAACCCCCCTCTCCCCCACTCCTACGTTTCAGATGAGTGAGGATGATGTGCGCCAGGTCTTCAGAAAGAACAAGAGAAGAAAAGCACCAGGCCCAGCCGGTGTGACACCAGATTGAAATCATAATGATGACAACATAATTATTCCTTCAATATGTTAATTGTTTTTGCTTGAAGGAATGGCATTAACTAACTGCATGGTTTTTATTATCCTTTGACACAGTAATGTAGAAACATGCATTTTCTGTAAAGATTAATATTAGAAACATTATTTGTTAAGAAACTTTTTATTGTGAAAAGCTCTATACAAATGAATGTGAATTGAATTGACTTCTACTAGTGGGTATGACTGATTACCCACAGCCTGCTGGAAGAGTGGTTAATTGTGGATCTCTTGATATTCCTGGGGATTCTGAGGACCTTGATGAGCACTGAGAGCTCTGAATGACAGGTGGTTCTCCTGACACTGAATGATTAGCAGAGTTCACAGCCTGGGTAAGGGCTTGAATCACTTGCTGAGCACCCATATCTTTATTAAACTGAGTAGGTAGTCTTCTTTGCCACTGTCTCCTCAGTCCCAAAGAAAGCCGTGACGTTATCACTCATCAACAGCCTGCTCTGTGTGCCACTCCTGAAGACAATCCCTCAGCTCTTGGGCAATGATTCAGCTGAATCGGTCACTGATCTTGGCTCCTTGTTTTGGTCGACCAAGAACACCCTGAAGAGCACATTAACACTTAAACGGTTTCATCTCCAACAAAACCAGGTCATTGCTTTTAGAACAACTCTCTGGAATGAGTACGATGCTGCTTTGAGTTGGTATATGGTATTGGTCTTTGGACCAAGATCAATCAGAAAATGCAACAAGGAATATTGCTGACTCACAAGGGGAACATCACAATGGGGTTAATCACTTCCGCTTGGCTTTATTTTTTCCCATCAGTGCCAGTACATTTCACTTCCACGCATCAGACTGTTTTCTAAACTTAAATGCACAAAAATATGAATAAATAAACATGAATGTATTAACGTAAATCAGCAATAACATAAAATGCCTTGCAAAAAGAAAACATGATTCAATCCATACACTGTAATCAAACGATCTCAAGTAACTTTGTACACAGTCACACCACTGAAAGCAGCAAGAAGAGGAGCAAAGAAAAACTGCTGCTCCAATAAAGCAACCCTTATTAGAGGCCACTAATTTGAGTCACTCCTGCAACACACCTGAAGCAGCGAATCAAGTTCAGGGTTACTTGATAATTACAGGCAGATGTATTGGAGCAAGAAAACGGGAACCTGATGTCGCAATGCTGTGCGTTGTGGGATTTTTAGGACACAGCATCTACAGTTGAGACTGAGTTTAAGTGAATGTAGACATTTTATATTATATTATGTTTATATTATTCAACTTAATAATGCATTGGAATGGTCAGCGCTTACTGTATCATCAATTACCATCACCTTTCTCACAGCCGGTGTTGGAAAAAGTGTAATTTTCAGCTCTGCAGTGTGAAAGCAACACAATGGAACTTGGTGAAAATTAAAGTGAATTTATTCAGTAAGGTAAAAAACTCAAAACGTGGATTTATAAATTATTTATATAGATTTCTTATATATTTTAGATATGTTGATTTGCAATGAACTGCAAGCACTCACACAACCCTTATTTGGTCATGGAACATCAATCAATATACTTCAAAATAATTGACCACCATACTATAACATGGATGTGTTATGAATCTTATACTTACATTTAGGCATTTAGCAGACGCTTTTGTCCAAAGCGACTTAAAAATGAGGACAATAGAAGCAATCAAAACCAACAAAAGAGCAATGATATGGAAGTGCTGTGACAAGCCTCGGTTAGCATAACGCAGTACACACAGCAAGGTTTTTGTTTTATTATAAATAAAAAGAAAACAAGTAAATAGAATAGAAAAAGAATAGACAACGTTAGTGTTAGAGGATCATTTTTAAATAAAAAGAAATGAGTACATAGACTTGAAAAGAATTGAGCTTACTAGTGTTAGAGGCTCTATTTTTTTTTAAATAAAAAGAAAGCAAGTATTATAAAGAGTGCAAGTGTTTTTTACATTTTTTTTATAAATAGATAAAAACAAAATGCGTACATAGAATAGAAATAGAATAGAGAGTGCTAGTGTTAGAGGGTCAAGTATAGATGAAAGAGATGTGTTTTTAGCTGATTCTTGAAGATGGTTAAGGACTCAGCTACTCGTTAAAGATTAATCTTGCAGCGGCGTTCTGGATTAATTGTAGAGATTTGATAGAAGTGGCTGGAAGACCTGCCAAGAGAGCATTGAGAGAGCAACTACAGACACTTTCTCAATCTGAGACAGGTCAGTGTACATATCTTTCTGCATTAATGGTGCCCTCACAGATTTACCCAGAGTTACCCATGCCATGGGCATTGACACACTCTCATACCATGACAGAT